AGGGAAGGGAAGGGAAGGGAAGGGAAGGGAAGGGAAGGGAAGGGAAGGGAAGGGAATTCTGAAATCTGTCCAAAACATCAACACCCTTCCCAGGAGCAGGATCCCTGGGGTTACCAGAATTACAAACAAAAACAGCCACTGGTCCTCAGGTGTGGGGACCCTTGAATCTCACCGATTTTTAATGCTTCAGCTGTATGGACCAGAAGTTCTAACATTTTTTTGGGGATGATGTTGACTCAAAATAAGTCCAGATTAGATTTGCGCTCTGGATCACATGCCAGCAGTTTCTGAGCTTAGAATCAAGTCTGATTAGATCCAGATGTGTCCATTAAAGTTTTACTTTTGCTGTGACAGAAAAGGCTGCAATCACCCCATATTCTCCTACTGAAGTGAGACCAGTTTCAGAAGCACCAACTTTTAAGTACACCAACCCACTCCAACTTGCAGTATTTATGTTGGCAAACTGATTTTACTGTTAACTGGATAGAATGCATACAAATTCCAACTGTAATGTGCAATTACAAGAGCTTCAAGGGAGACTACAGATGTTTTCACTGGAGTGAAAGAAGAGGTACAGTAACCACCAAATCTGCTATATTTCCTACCAAGCTAGGCTTGTCTCTTCCTCAGATGCAACAGCAGACATGTCTGATTATCTGCCTTAGAGTGGGAAGGAGCAGCAGAATATAAATGACCAAAGAAGTCTCAACCAAAATAATAATCTTCATTACGCTTATCAAATCACATTGGATACAGCTTCTGGTGTGACTGTATACAGATGAGGAAAACCTACAGAGAAATACATAAAATATTTGCACCTTTATGAATCCACTCAAGCATGCCAGCCTCTGAAAAGAACAAAGACTAATGAAATCTGACATTAATCTACATTAAAGATTCAGTGATTCAGTTTATTTGCCAATGCTCAATGATGCATTAATCCTCATCTCATCCCACACACACTCACATGTTTCCTCCCTGGCCATTCTCTCTTGCTCCCTAAATTCTGAAACAGCAGACAGCCGGGCTGCTCAAGGCCTTGTCTGTGTCCAGAAGTTAAATATGCAATTCTCCCTGTGTGGTTGAAGTTAATCTAGGATCTGTGAGCCTGGAAAAACCAGGTGTTTGTCTACCCAGCTTAAACCAGAATACCTTCCAGTGAGCACACTGGTGACTTCTACCATCAAAGAAACCCTCCTGCGAGCTCACACCTTAGCAAGCTGCCCTAATTTGGTTACAGCAGGCACTGCCCAGCTATGATTCTGGCAAAGAAACAAAGATCAAAACAGTTACAGCAATACAAGTCAGATAAGAAAATGCACTCATACTGGATTCTGGTTTAAGAAAGCCTATACATGAAAGAATAAATTCATTCAGCACAAGCAGCCCAGCAGAAGTCCCTGTGTAGATAACAGCTATGCGTTTCCTCTAAGGAAGATAAGCATGCACAGGTTTGCCAGCTAAACCTCCCGAAGGTGTAAGTAAGATCTGATTCCTCTTTGAAGATCATACTTTGAATGAAACTCTCCTTTAATTTCTTACTGTGCTTGACAGAAAAGCTCATTAGTTATTCATCCTCCATTTATCGCTATTTCTGTGATCAACCCTTGCCAGTAACCTACAGGTGCAGAATTGATATATAACCACGTGCAGCAACTGACATCTCATTCTCCTTACAACAAACCCATCTTCAGTGCCACACAGCCTTACAACCTTGGCAGCACTGCACCCACGGCCATCAAACATTTTCTAGCCTCTAAAACTTTTTATGATTATTTGTGCAATGTTACGCTGTTGTATGAGTATGCAAACCCCATGACTCAGAACTCTTCCAGCAATAACAATCCTACTTTCAGATCAGTTTGAGAAACAGCTAAGAGCTTGTAAGTTAAGTAACATTGACCTTAAACTACACCCTGTCCTACTGCAGAGAAGTGGGTCCCGGTTTTAGGATATTCAGAAGCTGGAAAGACATCCAATTCTACAGGCAAAAAGCAGCACCTTTATTCTCTATGCTTGGACATCTAACCAAAACAGCACTGAGGGACCCCAAAAGGTCTGCTTTGGAGAAATTAAAATCTTAGATGTGGTAGATAATTAAATTCACATAAAGGTGAATGGAATCACGTGATATATCCCACAAGAGACATCCACAGCTTTGAGCCTGCTGGTGGAAGGAAAACTGTCCTTTTTGACAACAACCATGTCATTTTTTCCTTATTTGCCTCTTCAAGATCTCACTGATTTGAATAGCATTTTTGCAAAATTAGTTTCTGCAGGGCCTGAAGAGAAGAATTATGGAAACCATGCAATTTTTTTTATTTCTTTAAGAGGTGTCAAAGGTTCCACAAGCAACAGGTAATCTCATAAGTGAAACACAGACTCTCTAAGCCAAGACTTCTTATATAAACTACATTACATGACAACAGAATCATGAGGACACCACATCTTCATTCCAAGGTTTAACAAGTTTTAACATACACAGCTCTTCCTCAAACACTCTGTGCTAGGTGAAGTGTAGGACTAGCAGCCTGCAAGAACATTATTTTCACAAGGTGAATATTGCCACCCTTCACCTGTGTTGTGATGGCATCTCCATGCATCAGCAATTAAGTGCTGCAGATGCTTGAGAAGTAAACTATTAGAAACACTCTGCTATACCAGGCTAACTCAATCAACCAAAATGAAAGAGCTGAAAAAGTACTTGGCACCTCACCCCATTACCATACACAAAATCCTATAACTTGCCTTGACTAATTTTCCCCTTGGCCTGGTGATTGAACTAATCAGCTGGTGAGGATGCCATCAACTGGAGCCGTGTACCTTCATGTATCAACACACTGAGAGAAGAAAGCTCTCACGGTGTGGGCTTGCACCACAGAAGGAAGACAGACAGCTCTTTATCACATACCACTGTACTCACAGCAGAGAAAGGGTCATGGAATAGTGATAAATTGTAATTACAGTAGTTGTAATCACACCCTGGCGTTAAGTTTCAGCTCCTCAGTATCAAAAATTAAAATGCCCTTTCGGAGCTGGACCCTGTGCTAGGGAGACCCGGCTAGAGAAACTCTCTGTCAGCAAACAGGATGACCTACCTGTTCACTTACACAAGGAGGTTTTGGTGGACATTTCACTGTTGAGTGGTTTCACAAGACAGCCTTTGTAGAAGCAGCCTGCCCTGTTTTGATGCTCTACAGAAGAGGTTTGCCCTCCCCTGTCCTTATACAATGGACACAGGCATACACAGACTCAGAGGGTACAGCCTTATCAATTCAGTCTCAGGTAGAAAAAGCATCTCTGCAGTCCAAAACCAAATAGTCCCAGAGTCACTGAAATGTTTCCACTTTGCCAAGAATTCCCCCACATTGGCAGATTTCCCCTTTTTCCAGTTTCTGACCAGTACCGAGTTGCAGGCTATGATGGTATCAAGTCCTAGAGGGAGAGAGCTTGATTTGCTTTATATCCTAATGAAGTACACAGAGCTCTGGTTTGAACCTCCCAGGTACTGCCTGTAACCTGAACTACACAAGTCAAAATCACAAGCTCTGGAGATGCCATTGCCAGAACAAACAACCAGCAATATGTCTCGTCACATTCAACTGACTGCAACTAAACCACTGCACAACAGCATGGTCTCCTGGGTCATCTCAGTGCCTCAGATGTAAAATATGGAAAAAACCTATGTTTCTGAAGAGCAAAGCCTCCCAGAAATTACTCCTGAGACTCTCAGGATGTTATGCTGGGCAATTGAGTTGGACTCTCTTTTTTCAGCAAAACAATTCATAATCTACTGTCATGTAAAACAGAAGATAGAATCAAGTCAGTGCCCTTTGCACTTGTGGCAATTTATCTGTATTATTATCCCCATCCAACTATGTAATTGCTGTTGTTATGCTGCATCACAACCGCCCATTTTGTCTAACTTTCTTAAAATGGGCCCTAATGCCACCCTGGAATATGATTCTGGTTTTGCACTGCCATGAAACCAGCAAAGAGGAGATCATACCTGCCACTGTTTTCCTGACTGGCTCGGCATGTATGTTGCTGGGAGACTTCGAAGGCTGTTCTTCATGGCCGACCCTACAATTGTACTCCCTGTTTCACTTGAGGAAGGCTCACTGGCCACTGCCATCTGGTACTGGGAGTAGTTGTACAGGTTGTTATAACAAGGATACAAGGACGGCTGGTAAAAACTGCTGTAGTAGGCGGAGTCCACAACCAACTCAGACGTGCTCTCCAAGTGCCCTCTGCTGGGGATGGAAGGGATGTCCTGAATGAGCATCCGTCCCTCTGGAAAAGAAAAAAAAATGACCATTATCCTTCACCTTCTAATGAGCTACTACTCCTCCCAAAGGCTGGACAAAGAGTGGTACGTAAGAAGAGGTAGAAAATGAAAGCTAAACACGGCTGAGTGTTTGGTGGAAACTCAAGTGGACCAACAACTACTCAGAGTCTAAGACTGCCACCTACACACACCACAAACTGCAAAACACAAGACAAAACCACCTGCAGGTAAAGACAATGCTCTAAATCCTCAGTCAATATCAACTGATAGGAATAATGATTTATATAACCTAGTTTTGCAGTCCCCTACTACTTTTTTAACCTGTAACAGTGTGCCAAGTCTCCTGTAACTCTCTAGAAGAAGGAAGGATCTAACTACAGAATGACTCCTGAAGTGTCCTGGAAGTGAGAGAACACTTTCTGAACATGCTCTCTAGCATGTTCAGCCCCTGGGACAACAGCCCCAAGGCAAGAGAAGCTGCAGTGAGGAAAGTACCATAGGAACAGCCAAGGTGCCCCAGAAACTCACACACTGCCTGTGAGCAGTAAGGTCCTCAATCCTTGCTGAGCCTTCATACCCAAATTTAGCTCCTGCACCTACAAAATCACAGAGCAGAACAAGACCCTCCCACTACCAGAAAAAGAGGAGGAAGAGAAAGGTATTGGTAGTTATTTGCACTCTGGAGTGCCTCCAGACGAAAGGTTAGCTGGCTGCACTCTCCACAGGCAAGGTCTGCCTCCCTGTCATTCCCTGAGATGGGGATGCTTCTCGGAAAATGAGAAGCCATGATTTCCCCACTCCACTGTCAACCAGTGCCTTGCAGTATCTGCAAGCATGAAAAATATAAGGTGCTTGTTGGTACTGTTGCACACCCAAACTCTCTCTCATATGTGGCATCAGTTGCATTGCCAAATAATGTAACAAACAAGCAAACAACAAACCAGACACATCAAAAAACTGCCACAATCTTATATATACATTTACAAGTTAAAAGATCCAACATCCAAATCCCTCCATATCTGCATCTCTGGCTCTAGTTTGCATGTCTGTGACCCTGCCTTGTACCAGTTCTCTGTAAGGAGCTCCTTTTTTTCCCCATGATGCTGTCCAACTGTTTTGTGCAGAAAAATGTGGCTTAAAGCATATGGATGAGCTCCCATGAAACAACATGGGCAACAGGCACATAGGAAGTAACAGCCCTAACAGACATTTCAGGCAGGCCTAGTTTATTCTGGATCTTTCTCTTGGTGTACCTGTATCTTGGTTACTTACCTGTAGAAGGAATATGGTGGCATACCAGCTTCTCAAAGTCATAACAACGTTCACGATACTGTGTATTAGCTGAATAGGAGATCCAATCATCACTTTTACCAATTATTGCCATTTACAATGCAATTCTGTTTCACTCCTTCAGCTGTAATGAAAGCTTTCTGCAATCATAGATTATCTCCTTCCAGGTCACTAAATTACACAGTGCCCTCATTCTGTTCTTGCTGACATTTTGTTGACATCAATGAACTATTTATTAGCAAAGACTGTTTTATGCCTCCTGCACCTAATTTTTCTGCAGAACCATGTCAGCTGGCCTTGTTTATCTGGAGTATTCCTCAAATTTGCACATAAAACAGAAGCACCTATAATACCACAGAAGACTTTTCAGAATTTCTGCACTTTTATTTTATAATTTTTGCAATTGTTCTTATTCTGCTTCTGGGCAAGACTCTTAGATCTTTTTCTCTGCATCTGATAAAATCAGAACTCAGACCACAGGCACAGCACAATCTTGACTCCCCTCCCTAAATTACCTCTCAAATAAAGCTGCATTCCAATTGCTCTGCTTTAAATGTTGCAAAATAGTAAGCCAAAAGCAAAATCCTCCAACACATTCCTTGCTGGGTTACAGATTGCACATGACAGAGACATGCAAGGCAGTCACCTGCAGAACTCCTCACAAGGCTATATCACGCTGCACAATTTCTTCTGAAATCTCTGCAGTGTCTTTTGATTTACTGTGCATCATTAGAAGGGCTACTACTCCCCATTAAAAATATTAGCACCAGGAAGATGAGGTCTTTTTACATCTACATAATCTGGATGGGGGGATCAAGATTATCCTCAGTCAGTTCACAGGCAACACTAAGTCAGGTGGGAGTGCTGATGTGCTGGAGGGCAGGGAGGCTCTGCAGAGGGATCTGGGCAGGCTGGATCGTGGCCCAAGGCCAGTGGTGTGAGGTTCAACAAGGCCAGTGCTGGGTCATGCCCCAGGCAGTGCCACAGGCTGGGGCAGAGTGGCTGCAAAGCTGCCCTCAGGAGAAGGACCTGGGGGTGCTGGTGACAGCAGCTGAACATGAGCCTGAAATTACGTTGTAGCCAGGTAGGGCTTGGACTCTTCTCCCAGGTACGAAGTGGCAGAACGACAGGGGACAGCCTCAAGCTGTGGCAGTGAAGGTTCAGGCTGGACATCAGAAAGAACGTTATGGAAAGAGTTGTTAAGCACTGGAATGGGCTGCCCAGGGAGGCGGTAGCATCACCATGCCTGGAGAGTTTAAGGGAATGACTACATGTGGCACGTAGTGCTACAGTCAAATTGACAAGGTAGTGATGAGTCGCAGGTTGGACTCAATGATCTTAACAAGTCTTTTCCAATCTAAATGATTGTGTGATTCTGATTCTCTAATACAAAGGAGAGGTCAGCCACCCCAGGTGCCAGCAGCTAAAATGAAGAAGGGGAGAAAATAACATGCAGGTTCTATTGCAACTTTTGGAAAGGTCTTAATGCACTACACTTCCTAACACGTGACAAGATGGGCTAGACTGAACAGAAACCTATAACTTTCCACCAGTGCACACAAGCATTCCTGATATTCCTGATGCTTCTGTGACACTCTAGCTGCTGTTAGTGCTACAGCTTCCTCCTGAATAGCAGCAGTGGCAGTATTCTGCTGCATTAAGGAGAAAAAATAAAATGCTTTTTGATGCTTTTTTCTCTTTCCATCTCCTACCTGTGGTTTGAGCTACTATCATTTGGCTCCATCCGTGAGCAACTCTTGCAGTGAAGACAACAGTACCTCTTGTGTACCTCTCAGTACCACAAGCTGTGCCTTTGGATCTCTAAGTTCTTTTCTATGTCTTTACTAATTCCTGTAGAGAACCGATGCTACTTTTTTTGCACTATGTACACAGTGTAAAATATGGCCCACTCTTTCATAGAAGATCAATATGATGCACAATAAATACTGGTATTGATCTTTCAGTGTTGTAGACAACTCTCCAGCTCTATGGCATATTAATAGTAGTTAACCAGTAATTCATTTCAGGGTGGCTGGTATTTTCTTTTAAAGAAGGTGAGTACTAGGGGTCAGTTACACATATATGTCTTTTACATTCAGTAACCTATGATGGGCTCCTGCCTTCGCTTAGCAGAGCACAGTGAAAAACACTGGTCCAGTCCTTAGCTAATGTAAACCAGTCTCAGACCATTTACTTCAATAAAGCTATGGCAATTTACACAAATTGCGGATATGCATGGCAAAATCAACGCAGAGGCCAGTATATAGACCATTTGGGAGGAGAAAGGCCAGGTAATTTACAGGAACTTTCATCATCATCTCCTTCTCACAGATGTAAATGTGTTTTTAAGGATATATACTGAGAAGTACAAACACTGAAATTTGAAGGCAGCATAAAAGCATGGAGTGTTTTCTATTCCTACTGGTACTGTTAAGGGCCAGTTTTACGTATTATATGCTGGCAATGGTAATTTAAGTATGTCTGCACAAGCCTCTGATATGAGGTCAAATGACATAGAGCCCACACTATTAGACTTTCTTAGCATGTGAAACAGGGTGGTACCACCAAAGTACCTACTGGGAATGGTTACCGGACCACGCAGGAATCTGACGGAGATTATTAGTCAGCTTATTTCTGACAGATGTACACCAGTAACTGTTCTATAAATCAAGATAGCAGAGCCACATTTCAATGTCGGGGAGCATGCCGTAGCATGGTTCAATTTATCTTGTGGCGTTACACCAAGTTAGTCTCCATCTGACTGTGCATTTCAGAAAAGGGATTTGTATACGAATTGTGGCAATTAAGAGAATTTCACTACCCCCATTTACTGTCATGTGTTCTTATATAAACCAATGTTCTTATATAAAACAGTTTTTATTTTTTCTATGCCTACAGAGACTCAGCACATACACAGCTCTGCTGGTAAAGTACAGAACTGTAACTCAAGTAACACAGTGACTCAAGGAGAAGGTAAGCACTGCCCAGTAAGCAAAGCTCAGCTAGTGGTAAGTTTACGTTTCCTGTAGTTTTCAATTTAGAGTGACTGTTTCCACCAGTTTTAATACTTCCTGCAACCCAGCTTCTGTAGCAGGGACAGTTATACCACTAAAACACACACAAAAAATTATTCAGTCAGGAAACACCTGCCTTTATACCTTAAAAGAATCTTGTATCTGTACCTGGCAATTTCTCCTTGCTCAGTATGTAAAACATTGACACACTCCTATAAGCTGGCTTAGCAATATTAAGTCTTTCAATGCAGAAGTTTAGTTCAATTCGTATCTGGCTTTGAGGTTGGACAGCAGCCTTGAACAAGGCCAGTGTGAAATCACTCCCTAATATCATAATCAGAAACTCTGGTACAATGTGTTTCTCCCACCAGACAATCATGACAGAGCTTTTTCAGATGTCAAAGAAAGCTGGCACTATTACTTTCTGCTGAGAAATGCTGCCTCCCAAGGAACAAAACCCACACGCTTACTCTGTCTTTGAGAGGAGTATTTCTGTTCTCTTCCCATTAGAAGTTGTGGAATATCTTTGGTTCCAGCACTGAACTTTTAGCTTGATATAAAGTTAATGTGCTAGACAATGTTCATTTCAGGCAAGGCTGTGGGGTTGTGTAATTTTCTGCCACCCCCAAAAAAGGCCATTATCTGTAATTACCCATTACCATGCATAATTATTTCTTCTATTCTGGTCTATGGCCCCCAGG